GGGGACACCCAGGACGAGGAAGCGTTCTGTGGGCCTGCGGGGCCTTCTCTCCCATGCGGGGCCGTGGCCGGAATCGTGTGGGGACGTGGAGGGGACACCCGGGAACGAGGAAGCGTTCTGTGGGCCTGCGGGGCCTTCTCTCCCATACGGGGCCGTGGCCGGAACCGTGTGGGGACGTGGAGGGGACACCCGGGAACGAGGAAGTGTTCTGTGGGCCATGTGGGGTCCTGCCCAGAATCCTGTGGGGACGTGGAGGGGACAGGCTGCCCCTGGAAGCCCCGTGTGTGGCGTGGGAGCAGACCTCTCATCTCAGGACCCCCCTCCTCTCTGCAGGCCGTCTGGTACTTGCCCAGTGCAGGACGCTGCTGGCCAGCGTGGGCGCCGCCTGCCACTCAGACCTCGGGGACCAGTAAGTACTTCTGTGTGCTCACTCACTGTGGGACACGGTTACTGCATCTCTGCCTGGTGTAGTCACAGGAAAATGGAGCAGCTGGCGCCCCACCCACCAGGGCCCTCTGGAGGGGAGGAGAGGGTGGGCTTCCTGGAGGAAGCAGCCTCTGGGCTTAACCAGAAGAGGGACTTCACTGAGAGGGCAGTCCGGGCCCCGGTCCTGTTGTGGGGCTGCTAGGCTGTTGCTCACAGCACTGGGGCAAGGAGGTGGGGTGCCCCTTGGTGGCTCCTGTGTTGGGGGGAAGGGAAAGGGGAATGGAGGCCAAGGGTCCGGCCGAGGCTGAGGCGGCACAGGGCAGGCCAAGGAGGCCTGCAGAGAACCTGCCCTTTGCAGGGGGCGCGTGGCAAACCCCGAGTGCTCTGGTCCTGTCCCCTCACCAGCGAACGACTGTCAGTTGGGAGGGGGCTCCTCTGCCCAGCCCTGGACAGGATGGAACTTACGTGGACAGCTGGGGTGGATGGGCACCGTGAGGTTGAGTCTGTGGACAGCTGCCAGGCAGACCCTAACTGGCACACACGCCTGGGGGCTGTGCACCCAGGCCTGACTCAGAGAAGCCCTTCTGCTTTGCAGAATGTCAGTCAGTCAGCGTGTGTGGGCCCCAGTAAATGCAAGGAGCCCTGGTGGCACCACGGTTAAGTGCTCCAGTCCGCACCCCCCCGCAGCTCCACGGGAGGCCTGGCAGTCTGCCCCTGTCAAGATGCGGCCTCAGAAGCCCTCCGGGCAGTTCTACTCTGAGCACAGGGTGCTGAGGGCCGGCAGCCACTGCAAAGCAGACAGCCCCGACACCGTGCACACGCGGTCCCTGGGAGGCGCCCACAGTGGCAGGCACAGCACGGAGGGAGAGCCCGCACCGAGTCCCTAAGGACTGCGGCTGAGAAGGCCCCGGGGAGCAGTTCTGCTCTGCAGCACTCGGGGGCGCCATGCCCCGGAATCGACGGGGGGCAACGGGTGTGTGGTTGCTTGGTTGCCTCAGTGTCCACCAGCACTGAGCTCGGTGCCCGAGACAGACTCTGGGGCCTGGGCCCTGACTCCTGGGAGGCGGGACCCACGCTCTGTGTTAGCAGTTTCAGGACCAGCCTCCCAGGACCTCGCAGCCTCCTCCAGGACAGAGTCCCGCGGCCCCCAGCGCTCAGTGCCAAGCAGCCCAGCTTGCCGAGTGGGGCGGGTGTCCCCTGCGGGGTGGAAGGGCCCAGTGTGGTGAGGCCCTCAGGTGCAGCAGGCCCAGTGCGGTCAGAAGGGTGGTTGTCGGGGAGCCCAGCAGGACAAGGTCCAGGGAGAGGGGAGGTGGGCACAGCAAGGCCGAGAAACGGGCGCTGTGGACACAGCGGTGAGACGTGCTGGCAGGACCCCCAACCCGGGTCTTCTGGCTGAGGGGCTCAAGGGGCGTGCTCTCCCTGAAAGCTGACAGCCCCCTCTGCCTCACAGGCCCTCCCCGGTGCTACTGAGCTGCGGGGTCCCACTTGATGTGGCCAGGAACGCACTGCGGCTCAGTGTGGGCCGTGGCACCACCAGGGCCGAGGTGGACCTTGTCGTGGACGACCTGAAGCAGGCTGTGGCCCGGCTGGAGGGATCACCCTAAGGCAGTGGGGACCTCCACCCCCCGCCTCCTAGGAGCCTGGAGCCAGGGCCCACAGCACACATCTGCCTCCTCCCTCCCCCAGGACTGGCTGGGGGACACTTTCCTGACTTACTCAAGTCTTTGTTTTGTCCTGGTATGTGGGGTTGAAGACTGGGGAGTGTGTGTGCTCTGGCCTGCCTGTCCCCGAGGGAGGGTCCTGGAGGAGCCTGCTGGGCACACAAACCCCAGTGGTCCTTACACCACAGTGGTCCAACACAAGAGTCCCCCATAGAACGGTCCCTCATAGGTCCAGGGACATACACGCCAACATAGGACAGTCACTCATAGACCCAGGGACACGTGTCCACATAGGACAGTCACTCATAGGTCCAGGGACATATATGCCAACATAAGATGGTCACTTATAGACCCGGGGACACACATGTCCACAAAGGACAGTCTCTCAAAGACCCAGGGACATATTTCCACTTAGGACGGTCACTCATAGGCCCATGGATACATGTGCTCACATAGGATAGTCACTCATAGACCCAGGGACACATGTTCACATAGGATGGTCACTCATAGACCCAGGGACATGTGTCCACTTAGGATAGTCACTCATAGACCCAAGGACACATGTGCCCACATAGGATGGTCACTCAGGTCCAGGGACACACATGCCCATACAGGACAGTCAGTTGTAGGCCCAGAGGCACAGGTGCCCACATAGGATGGTCACTTGCCTCTGCTGTGGATGGAGGCAGACACACCTCGGCTCCTTCCTCGGAGGTGGGGCGTGTGCCCAGATGGGCAGATCCAAGTATATCACCCACTGTCCATTCACTGGCACCGTGCACAGCGGACACTTGCGTTTTGCCTCATTCCACTCCTGTTTGGCTTCTGGGGCCTCCCATCCACAACTTAGTCCAGCAGCGTCTGCCTGGGCGGCTGGGCCCCTTGGAGGCCTCTCATGCTGTCCCCCTCTCTGGCCTCTGGGTCTCTGCTCAGAGAGGGCTCAGCGCAGGGGTCAGGGCTCCTATGGGGCCGAGTGTAGGCAGCTGGGGTGCTTGGCCTGGGTCAAGTGTGGGTGGCAGGGCTCCGATGGGGCCCAGTGCGGGCAGCAGGGATGCTCCCGCTCCTGCTTTTTTTCCGAGTGGGAAACCAGCACACCCCCCCCCACGCGGCTTTCATTCAGGTCTCACATGAAGGTCTTCGTGGCTTCAGTGTCTTATGGATTCTGACACATATCACACGCCTTTGTGTTGTGGGCACATTTACACAGGACTCATTTTTAACTGAACAACCTTTTAAATGTGATGTCTTAAGGAGCAAAAATAAGCATGTGAAGACACTGTGGAAATTAAATGTATCAATAAAACACTTGGTCAGTCAACCACGCCAGGTTTGCTTCTGTGTGTTTCCAGGCAGGCACTTTGTTCAGGAAGAAAGTGTTTGTCCCAAGCATAGCCGTGTGTCCACGAAGCGAGCAAGGGAGCCTGCTGTAATCCTATCACACACCAAGACACTTAGGCCCAAGAACCCTGCCGCAGGCTCTCTGGGAGCCCCTACGAAGGGTCTGCAGGGTCTGCTAGGGGCTGTGGGGTCCTGCCTCACTGAACAAGTCTGGAAAAGACGCCTGATGGCACAAAAACACAAGACAAGACATCGTGGTTGCAGCCTCAGAGCCGTGGCCACTGTGGGTGGAGGCTGCTCAGCCACCTCAGACCTTCCCTCCAGCGTCCAGTGGGGCACACAGCCCGCATGGCCTGCAGCACCCACAAAGCTGCACCACTGCCGCTTCCCCTGGGGCTAGCGGGGCCTCCACGGGCCACGGGCCACGGGCCAGGTGAGGCCAGGAGCCAGGTGCAGACTCCTTCCCACAGTCCAGTTTCCTCAGGACAGCGTGTCCCTAGATCTCTGCGTTGACAGTGTGGCCAGAGTATGGTCCCCAACGGGGCACTCAAACAGCCGGCACTGAATCCCCAGGAAAAGGCCCCCAGTGGATGGGGTTGCCCCCCAGGGGCTGCTCCGGCCAGCCCAGGGCCAGGACACCCCGCACAGAGTCTGTCCAAAAGTGGCCACTCAGGCCTGCCATTCCTCGCAAGGACGCACTCAGTGAACAAACACACTAGATGCTCAATACCCATCGAGCCAGAGTCCGCGGTGCCGACCCTCACTCTGCATCCACTCCTGGCAGGAGCCCCCGGCAGGAGCCCCAGCCCTTCACGGGGAGTGGCGTGGGAAGGGCTGTGATTACCCCCGGCAGCCCCCCCTTCTTGCCGCCTCCCATCTGCCCTCCGCGCTGCTTATCGGGTAACCGGATCCAGGGGCTCGTGTCCACGCCTGAAACAGAAGCCCAGCCTGCGTACGAACGCTGCAGAGAGCTGGCCGGGGTGCTGGGGGCTGGGGTGCCGGGGTGCTGGGGGCCGAGACGGCCCTGCCGAGCATGGCGGAACATCGGGCACTTGCAGCCGCCAAGCAGGGGGACCTGGCTGCCTTGGAGCAGCTTCTGGAGGACAAGGCCCTGGGCCCGGGCCCCACCGACACGCTGGGGGCCGGCCTGGTGCACCACGCCGCGCGCGCCGGCCACCTGGACTGCGTGAAGCTTCTGGTGCAGCGGGCCCGGCTGCCTGGCAACCAGCGGGCCTACAACGGGGCCACGCCAGCCCACGACGCCGCCGCCACCGGCCACCTGGCTGAGCTGTGCTGGCTCGTCCGCGAGGGAGGCTGCGGCCTGCAGGTGAGTAGGACGTGGCCCAGCACCTGCCAGCCTGGGACAGCCACTGACCCGTGCGGCATGCAGGCGGGTGGTCTGAACCCAGGCGGCCGAGTGCCTCAGCCCTGGGCCACCAGGGTCCTCCCCTGGGCTCCTGAGGTCCTGGTCCTGTCCTCGGCAGCAGCAGTCAGGGGATCTGAGTGCCCCACACCTTGAAAACCGAGGCTTCCTCCCAGAGCACCCTCTCGTACCCCAGCCTGAAGCCACCTGCCATTCTCCCCTCCCCGCCCATCACCCCACACCCCTCTCCTGAACAGGATCCCTGGGCCTGGGTGGCAGGGGTCTTCCAGGGTTCAGGACCCCTTCCTCCAATCACACTGGTCCCTGGGCCCGGAAGCCAAAGCATCTGGACCAGGTCTGTGGAGAAGCCCGGTGAGGGCTGGGCCGTGGGCGTGCACGGGCGAGACCCCAGGCACCTGCCAGGGCAGAGGGTGGCAGTGGCTGTGAAGGGTGATCCCAGGGCAGGTGTCCTCACCTGGGCATCTCTCCAGGGCGCCACCTCCCCTTTTCCTGCCCACCCATCCCCCTCGTGGCGTCAGGGGGCTGTCCCTTGTCTGATAACCCTTAGGGGTTGTGGGCCAGCCCCTGACAGGACCTCTCCCAGAAGCCAGAGTGACGTGCTGGGTCACAGGAGGGGGGACCTGGAGAGATAAGGGAGCATCAGCCTCTGAGTGCTGGGCTGGCCCTGCAGCCCTGTTCTCACAGGGAGAGCCAGGGTGGGAACTGTGACCACCTCTGGGTGTGTTCTAAGCACGGTCCTCGGGGATGCCCTGTCCTGCAGCGGTCAGCACTCCAGTCGCCTGCTGCGTGGCTCCTGGGCAGGCGCAGATGGGCAGCCACTGAGCCGGGTTCGAGCCCCAGCCCTCCCCCTTCCCTGGAGCCACCCGCCCGGCTCCTGGCTTGGAATGCACAGTCCTGGTAGCAGGGCTCCTTGGTCAGGCTGTGCAACAGGAAGTGGGGGAGAATGATCAGACGGGGGCCTTGGCGGGGGCCCCGACAGCCAGGTCTGCCCCTGGTGGTGCCACCGGCTGGGACGGTCAGGCCTGTCGCCTGGCTCACGGCCTCCCCTTCGGCCTCCGCAGGACCAAGATGCCTCGGGTGTCTCCCCACTGCACCTGGCCGCCCGCTTCGGACACCCCACGGTGGTGGAGTGGCTGCTGCGCGAGGGCCACGTGGCGGCACTGGAGACACTGGCGGGGGCCTTGCCCCTGCACCACGCTGCCGTCAGTGGGGACCTGACCTGCCTGAAGCTGCTGGTGGCCGCCCACAGGAGGTGCGGAGTCTGCGCTGACAAGGGAGGGCCGGGGGCGGGGGCCCAGCGGGGCCGCACACTGTCCCCAGGAGGGGAGCGGGAGCAGGGGGTGGGCAGGAGCTGGGGGAACGGGGTCAGAGTGGGGGTCCGGAGGGCCTGATGCCCGCCTAGTTTGAGGCAGGTATGGCGGACAGGGAGCACTTTGGGTCTGAGAGCGGGATTGGGGGACAGAGGGAAGCATCTGGAAGCTGCTGAAACAGCCCACAGAGGCCCCCTGGGGTGGCTCAGGGCGTAACCCCGACAGCTGGAGCAGCAGCAGACTGGAGGTGCCAGGGGACAGAGGTGGGCTGAGGGCCGCCAGGCAGGTGACTTGGAAGTGCCTTCTGCACTGGGACTCCCTGAGGCTGGTGGCCTTGTGCCCACATCACACAGTGGATGAGTGAGGAGGGAAGGACAGGGCAGGGTTGGGGACAGGCCTGGCTGAGGCAGGCGGCAGCAGGACTTCTCATCTCGGCCCAGACCTGACCGTCGTCACAGCCATGGGCACGTGTGAGGCGCGGAGGGGGGGCTCAGGACCCCATTTCCCAGGACTGCGTCCTGCCACGAGCAGGACTCTCCTGTCCACCAGCCTCAAGGCCACCTCCTTTCTCGTCCCTGGATTCTCCCCAGTGAACCGCCTGTCTCTACATCTGCCTCTTTTCTCTTTTTATTGTGAGTTGGGTGAAGGTTGACAGAGCAAATTGGTTTTCCATTCAACAATCCACACACATTCTGCTTCGCCTCTTCTTTCTGAGGGAGCGGTTTACCTGGCCGCCTGATCCCGGCCGCCTCATCTGTCCCAGGACACGTCCTGACAGCGCGGGTGTGGAGCCACCTTCTCAGTCCCAGGCCAAACGCTCTGTGGACCCCTCCCACACAGGCCAACCGGGCCACCGGGCCTGGCTTCCCACGGGGCCTGCTGGGACCCCAGTTCCTGAAGTGGTTCGTCACCATTTGAAACCCGGGAGACTTCACCTTCTCGTGCACACGCACTCGCACATGTACACAATTCACTTATACACACTAGCACATAAACACCCACACTACACACACACACAATTCACTTATACACACACATATACATATTCACTTATACATACACACACATGTACACAGTTCACTTATACACACTAGCACATATACACTCACACTACACACATGTACATAATTCACTTACACACACATACACATTCACTTATACATACACACATGTACACAGTTCACTTATACACACTAGCACACACATACACATTTACTTATATACACTTACACATACACATTCACACATGTACACAATTCACTATACACACAACACACACACACATACACATTCACTTATATGCACTCACATATACACACATGTACACAATTCACTTATACATACACACATATACACAATTCACTTATACACCCTAGCACACACTCACACGATTAACTTATATACACTTACACACTCACACATGTACACAATTCACTTATACAAACACACACACTCTTGCATACACACACACATATATATATACATTCACACACATATGCTGACCCACACACTCACACATGTACACAATTTAGTTATACACAGTAACACACACATACATTCACACATATACTCACGCACACATATGCACTCACATTCATACATACACATACTCATACAGTCTCACACATATTCACACACACTCCCACACATATATACACACACACTCATGCATATACTCACAAACACACACTCCCACACAAATGCACACACACACATTCCTTTGCTCTGTGAAAACAAGGTCTGGTGCCCCTGGGCTCACATCCCCACCTGGCACCACCTGAGGGGCCCAGGGCGGCCACCCCTCTGCACTGAGCGTGAGGTCCAGTTTGCCCGGGACCACTGAAGGTCGCCTCTATGCTGCCCAGCACTGTGGTCCAGGCGCAGGCTTCTTGGCAAGCTGACGACCCTGCACCCTGGAAAGTCCACAGAGGCCCTGCCTCGCCCCCTGGGTGTGTCCCGTGACCAGTGGGTGAGCCTGGCCCCTGCGCTGGCAAAACAGGCTTGCTGGGGGTTAGAAGCCAGGGAATGCCCAAGGACCCTGACACCCACCAGGATCCCACGTGAGGTGCCCTCATCGCCACCTCACAGGGACCCGAGGAGGGGAGGGTCCTGTCAGGGCCTGGGGAAGGGAGGGGCTCACACCCAGGTGCAGGTCTTTGGGTGACTCGTTCAGCACTCAGGGCCTCAGTTTCCCCATCTGTCAGCTGAGGCCTGAGCTTGAAGTCTCCTGACTCTGCAGTACCGTGGGTCCTTGGGCAGTTCCTGGAGTGCTGAGACCCCCTATCACAGTGGGGAACGGCTGTCAGGAGCTCATGAGAGCAAGTCATGCCCCCAGGGGCACCCCCCACCTCCGGGGACCCCAGGAGGTAGAGGGTCTGGAGCAGGCGGCAGGCCTGGTAGCAGCCCCCAGCTGGGCACCTCTCACTGCTCTGCCATTCCACCCCTCAGCACCGAGCACCTGGGAGCCAGGCTGCATGGGTTTCCATCTCAGGGACTCCTGGGCAGCCATGCTGCTGGTCACAGGGAACACGGGAGACCCAGAGGCAGAGAGGAGCCTATTCTGTGTCTTCCTGGGGACAACTGAGAATTTGGAACTAGTCCAGGCTCTGAAAGGACTGGTACTTGTCACCTGGACCCAGAGGCACGGAGGGACGGTCGCTGCTGCCCCGGGGACATCCTGGGCTACCAGGGGATCCCGGGAGGGGAGCGAGGAGGCGCTCTAGGACCTGGGGCAGCAGCGTGGGAGTCAGCGAAGCTCGTCCCGGTCAAGTGTTCCACAATGGGCAGGGGTGGATGGTGACACCAGGGGATGGGGTCACCTTGGGCAGAGGCCACCGTCCCTGCAGCCCGGTCGCTGGGGACCAAGGGCTCCCCTGTGCTCTTCAGCAGCCAAGGGCAGAGGGGTCCGGGAACCCTGAGGCCCTGCTCTGGGGTGGCCTGGCCCTGGCCGCACAGCCCTTTCCACAGAGCCAGCACCAGGCTTGAAGAGGTGAACTGTGCCCTCACGGGTCACTGGCAGGGGGCTCACCAGCAGGGGCACTGTCCCAGGTGCTGCCCCACTGGGCTGTTCAACCCTCCGTGCAGACCAGGAAGGCGCCTCCTGCAGGCAGACTGGGTGCTCACAATGTGATGAGATTGGGGGGTTCTAGGCATCTGGATCAGTGACCCCCCTCCGTCCCCGCCCCTAGTGGCTGTGAGCAGTGCCATCTGTGCGTCTGCAGGTGGTCCCGGAAGTGGGTGGGCACAAGCAGGACAGCCCTCCCCGTGTTGGGCCCTCTCCCAGCCCCGCCCCTTCTGAGCTCCGTCCTTGCCTCTGCAGCGGCGTGAACCGGAGGACGCGCAGCGGCGCCTCGCCGCTCTACCTGGCCTGCCAGGAGGGTCACCTGCACCTGACCCAGTTCCTGGTCAAGGACTGCGGTGCAGATGTGCGCCTGCGCGCCCTCGACGGCATGAGCGCACTGCACGCCGCCGCCGCCCGCGGCCACTACTCACTCGTTGTCTGGCTGGTAAGAGGATGGCCGGCTGGGGGCGTCCGGGAGGCCTGGGGCCTGGCTCCTACCCGCGGTGGAGCTGCCCGGGGGTCAGCAGGGTCCTGCTCAGGCTGAGCGCCGTCCTCTGGGTCTGTTGGCACATCCAAGACGTGGGCACCTGCAGGATTGTTGGGGGTCTGATGGGCAGACGGCCGGGCCATGAGAACAAGCCTAGCCCGGGGTACCAAGCCCCTGCAGGCGCCAGGCCCAGGCTGGGCAGCCCCGGAGCCCAGAGCTCTAACCACTTCCTGGCCCGGAGCTGCTTCTGAGGCACCGGCGGGAGAACCCTCCCTGGGCAGGGCTGTGACGTGGTCCACCTTCCACCCCTGACGCCCTTCTCTTCCAAGCAGGTGGGTGGTGCCCCAGGGGCACTGTTCCCTGTGCCAGCCACACCTGCCCTGGGCCCCTTACCTGTTCATGCGGGCCAGGCCAGGCCAGCACCCACCCCACACCTGGGCCTCCCCAGGTGGTGACATCGATCAGGAGGTGGCTGGGTTAGGGCCACAACAAGCACCAGAGAAGGACACACTTCCGCAAAGGCGGGGAGCCTGGCCCCTGGGCAGGGTGGCGTGCGGCAGGCCGCCCCGGGTCCTGAGCCAGGCGGCAGGACCTACCTGCGTTTCCGAGGTCTCTCCAGCTGCTGTGGGAGGACAGCTGGCTGCTCGGCCCCGCCCCTGCCACGCCCACCACGCCCGCGCCACGCCCCCTCCTGGCCCACTCTCACCTCGCAGCCTGAGCACGTGCTGCGCCCGGTGGCTGCCGGGTGTCCACATGGCCCCGCCCACATCTGTATAGGCGTCCACGAGGCTCCTCCCACCGCGGGCGGGCGTCCACACCTCCCACCGTCTCTAAGATGGCAGCCCACCACGCTAGCACGCGGTCCCCTCTTCTGCTCGGTGTCCCTGCTTGACACCACTACCCGGCAAACGGCACATTTGCCTTCCTCACCTCGCCTGTAGTGCATTTCCATCCCCGGAATGAAGTCCCCGAGCTCCGTGAGGCAGGGACTCCAGTATTCAGCAGGCCTGGCCGTAGCCGGTGGGGGCAGGAAGGGGGGGGCGGGGCTCGGGGTGGAGTCCAGCCCCGCGGCAGTGGCGCCGGCCTGGGGCTCCGGGTGCAGCCCACCGCGCCCCGCCTTGGCCCTTGCCTTGCTGGCCGGTGTAGCTGCAGCAGGTCTGCCCCCAGCCCACACAGCCTTGCTGGACCAGGGCTCCTCCCCGGGTCGGAGTGCTGAAGGTTCAGGGAGGATTCAGGGCCGAGGATGTGCCCTCCCTCCCTCCCTCATTCGTTCATTCGTTCATTCATTCATTCTTCAACAAACGGGCCCCACGTGCCAGGTGTGGGTGTTTTCGTTTGATGCCTGTAACTGGCCCCAGGGGTGTTTGGTCTAAGCTGTGTTTTGTCTAAGCATTTTCTCCAATGAAAATGCGGAGGTTCACCGTACCCCCACCCTGAGCCCTGGCCGTCACACTGCCCTGGCGTTACAGGAACCCCATCCCGCGTGCCAGCTGTCCTTCCTGGGGTGGGAACGCTGCAGCCTCCCTGACGGGCACAACCTGTGCTCAGAGCACCTCCCCATCGCCTCCTGCCCTGCTCTCCCCAGCCCTCCCCCTCCCCAGTCTCTCTCCCCGGAGCAATCTCCCCGAGTCCAGCCTCAGCCTGCTGACTGTCTCCCTCTGCTCCTCTGTCCAGGTCACGTTCACTGACATTGGCCTGACCTCGAGGGATAACGAGGGGGCCACGGCCCTCCACTTTGCGGCGCGAGGCGGACACACACCCATCGTGGACCGGCTCCTGCTGATGGGCGCCCCCATCATGAGAGATTCCTGGGGTGGGACCCCCCTCCACGACGCAGCCGAGAACGGGCACCTGGAGGTGAGGGGTGTGGGCAAGGCAGGGCGTCAGGGTGAGACTAGAAAGGTAGCCACTGAGCGCCCCCTCTCTCTCCCACTCAGCCCTCACGACAGCCTGCAGGACAGGTGGTCTTGGCATGGAAAGACTGACGCTCAGAGGGCACAGTCACTTGGCCAAGGTCCAGTGGCCAAACCAGGACCCACACTCAGATCTACCTGGGAACAGAGCCCAGCTCTCATCCTTGGTGCTGGGCTCCATCCACAGGCATGGCCTTCCCTCCTGCAGTGTCCTCAAGGGGCTGACGTCACAATACTCCTCAGAGGATGCATTGGGCTGCCTGGCCCTCTGCTGAGAGCACCGTCCCTCGAAGAACGGGGCCTGGGGTGACATGAGCTATTAGTCAAACACACCTTGGAGCTCACAGAGCCCAGTCTCTAGGGAACAACACCCAGAAACCTAAGCAGGCAGAGGTGACGGCCACATATTAAACAACCATCATCAGAGCCCGTCTGGAACAGCACGTTCCCAAAGGCACGTCAGTCCACCTCCCTCCAGTCTCCCAGCATCCCTCTATTGTCCTGGAGCCCCTAGGGCTCAGGTCTGCTTCCAGTAGAGACAGGCTCCAGCCTCCGCTGCAGGGATGATTTTTTCACCCTTTGATAGACTTTATTTGTAAAGCACTTTCAGGTTTACAGAAAGTGTGCAGAATCTCCAGCGCGTCCCCATAACCCTCTCTGCCCCACAGTCCTCTCATCCCTGTGGTCCCTTTGTCACAGCGGACAAACCACTTGTTGTTGTTGTTGTGTGCCATCGAGTCAAACCCGACTCATAGCGACCCCTCCTTGGGTTTCCGAGGCAGTATCACTACAGAAGTAGGATTGCCCA